TTCATAGTTACCACATCAGGAGTATCCTTCAGTCCAAAATAGTCCCAGTACCAAGGGATTTTGAGGATAAATCCCATCTTTGTACAACCATGTGCTCCAGTTCACAAAGCAACTCTTTGTCTCCCAAGAGATAGCATTTCAGGTGCAATAAAACAGGCAAGGACAGGGGAGAGAGCAAGAGCAAGAGAGCTCACTTCCATAGGGATCAAACAATTATATCCCAATTCCAGTCACAAATTAGATGTGGCCATCAGCCAATTGCGAGTGGGCATGGGTGTGCCCAATTGTTGGGTGCCATGGTTGCTAGCGTCAGGTTTGTGGGATTGGCTGGAAGTTTGGAGACCCTGCCTGCAATCAGCTGACCCAAACTCCAGCTACTTCATTGTGTACGTGACTTGTTGCATGTGGGCCAGAAAGTGTAGCCATGAGGTCTGGCTTTTGGCATGAAAGTGTGAAAGAATGTGGGTTTATGGCATGGCTATTGAGGCCATGTGGCCTCACCATTTGGCTTGCAACAGGAAACAAGACACAGCATGTTATCATAATGTAATCACAGGAGAAGGCATGTAGATATAGAAAGCAGAAAGCAATTTTTCTATACAAGGGCGCCGAGCCCTTTTGTTTCTCAGCACCCTTCCCATACTCCGTGGCCTGGACCCCCTACTATACTTTCCCCTCCCAAAGAGCACCGGAATCTGTTGTGTTGGCATTGCTGCCATTGGCCGGTCCACACTGCAGCTCCAGACCGCCAGTAACAGTTAATCAGCCGTCCTCCCAGTACTGTTCCCACGCCACTGGTATACAATATATCCTCACGCTCTGCTATACAATAGTATACACAATAGCATACACGGCTGTAGTAAAAGAAACAAAAGAAACCTAGCTACTCTTACACTCATATTCAACACTACTCACAACCAGTCTCTCTACCACTCCCCTCAACATCAATAGCAGGCTATTTAATCATTCTTACATGCATCCAGACAACATCCACGCACCTAATGGCATTCGCTTCAGAGTCCATCCTGGTGGTTGAGCCCACCACCATCACAGGAGGCAGAATAGAATCACTCTCCTCCCTGCTGAAAGATCTTCTACTCTTGGGCTCGGTCGTAATCTCACGCGGCTCCCCCACTAGGGTCCTTCAAAATGTCCTGGAAGGGGAGGGCGGTGTATAAATCGAAATAATAAATAAATAAATGGTAAATGAAAAGCAACATGAAGCTGAATGGAATATAATTATTTTAAACTTTTAATTATTTAATCTATAGAATTTACTTCTGGTTCCATTATAAGTGTTTATATTGGGAGAATAGAAGCCTTCAATTTTCAAATGGCTGGCAATGCTCTCTACAAAAAACTGAATCCAGACTCTATAAAGACTGTTCTAGTTTGTTGTAGAGAGCATTGCCAGCCATTTGAAAATTGAAGACTTCTAGCTAGGGAGAATAATAGGACTGGTTTGCTACTACTATAGTGTTCATGGAGAACATCAGCCAGCAAAACTGAGGAGACTTTTTGCACCTAGAGAGGATTGGCTTCCTCCCAATATAAACACTTATATTGGAGGTGTCTCCAGTTTATTGGGCTTTGCTTGGCATGGGTCCTGCTGTGCATGTGGCATCATGCCTGGATCACCACTACCCCGATTTTGAAGATGGCGGGGGGGGGGCAACTTGTCTGTCCTGGGTTCTCGCTCAGCCAAGGCTGACTATTCCTCAGACGAGGAAGAGGCACAGAGCAACCCAGCCTCCTCCGGAGTCAGCCCCGAAGAGGAACCTTTGCCAGCACCTGAGGAAGGAGAGGCTCCAGCATCTGAGGTGCAGTCGGAGGAAGAGCCTGGCCCAGCACCCCCAGTTGGAGACACCTTGAGGCCAGAGTCCTCACCTAGGTCACCTGAATGTCCCAGACACAGGGCGTGCCAGCGTCTGGAGGTGCAGGAGAGATGGAGGAGTGCCAGACTTCAGCTGTTGCAAAGGGATCATGAGGGGCCATGAGTCTTTGCAGGTTGCCTCCCAAGGAAGGGAGGATCGGAGTATAAGCAACCAACGCTCACCTGCCTCGGTGTGGTTGCAACCGTGCAATCTCCGACCTTGTTCCGACTGCCAGCCTCCACTCTTTGCTCCTGAAAACTCTGACTGATTTCCCAGCATTCTGACCTTTGGCACTGTTTCTTGGCTTGCTTTTGGACTATGTATCTAGCTTCAGTGAAGTATATCCATGGCGACCAGCCAGAACCAGCACATTGTCTTCTCGGTCCCCTTCTATGGTGGCTCAGGGGCAGGGGGAAGCTTGCAACAACTAGCTGCTTTGTGTTCTTACCCTAGGGCCCAAGCTCACAGCATTGGCGGTGGAAGAAGGCAGGGGAAGGTGTTTGCTTCCCCGCCCAGGCAGTGCAGATGGGAGCACATCTGGCCTGTGCTGAAGGCACTGCACTGGCTGCCAATGGGCTTCCAGTTCTCTTATTGTATCAATTGTGGACGGGAGGTTGAGGCAGAGCAACAAGACTTTGTCTGCAAAATGGCTTGCAAATGCCTCACAGCCAATATACCCTGAGGCAAGGTTTTTCTCTCCCACACCTAACCCATGGGGCCTTGCAATGAGGACACACCAACTTGGAGATTATCAGCTGCTGTCCTTCATAAAGTTTGTGTCTCCAGTATCTGGCATTACATTTTATGGCATTAATGGCCCAGTCTGACAAAATGACATTTATATCAGATCTGACCCTCATAACAAATGAGTTCAATACCTTTGTTATAACCAATTCTATAGCACCTGTGAAATATAGCACATGGAAAAGATATTAAGATAAATACGTCAGAGAAGTAAATTGTACAAAGGGAAGCAAAAAAAAGAGGTCTTTATTTAAAAAAAGGTTTATTATAAAAGAGAGAGAGAGAAGAGGAAAAAGATGGCTGGATGGGTTGGAATAGGCAATGTCCAGTGAACAAAGAAGAGAAAAGACCCTGCAGGGGGCAGCAAGAACATAGGATAGTGGGGTCAGCTCCTTCTCTCTTGTTAAGTGTAATTCCTTGTCTGTCTCAGATTGCTACTCCGAGGGCAATATCCTCCTCCTTCTCAGAAGCCCCCCCCCTCAAGTATATTAGTTCCTGGCCCTGTGATGGATAGCTCAAACTAGCTCAATCTCATCAGATCTTGGAAGCTAAGCAGGGTCAGCCCTGACTAGTATTTGGATGGGAGACCTCCAAGGAAGACCAGGGTTATAACACAGAGGCAGGCAATGGCAAACCACTTCTGAACGTCTCTTGCCTTGAAAACCCTACGGGGTCTCCATATTTCAGCTGTGACTTGATGGCACATTCCACCACCATGTTAGTTCCTGAATAAAGTTTTATCTACACTTTAATCAGATTGTACATCTTTGCTGTATTAATTACTTTGCCAACAGGGTACAAAACAAATGGCAGGAAAAAGGGCAAAAGCAACGTACAGGAAAGGCACATAACAACAACACCACAGATGTTCAAATGAAAGCAATACAGTTGAACTAACTTAGCTAAACATGTTTTCTAGGCTGTAGCACTTTCCTCACAGCACATGCAGAGTTCCTTGCAGAAACAAGAAGGTGAAGGAGTCCCCTACCCAACCTCCTTTGGACTCCATTTCTGTTGAAGACTGAAATCTCTCTCTCTCTCTCTCTCAAATAGATTTGGACCTAAGCAAGCCTGCTTTCTAAGAGTGACAAGCTGCTTTAGCAAATCCCATGCAGAGCTGATGTCAGAGGCTACTGTTACCAATCAGAGCTGTAAAAATTACACTCCCATTTCCATCAAGCATCTGGTAATGGCTCTGAGCTTCCATAACAAATAGGTGGTCTGGATTGTCCTTTGTACAGAAAGGATTAAGTCTGCCAGGATGATCCAATGTAGAATGAAAATGTAATGTAAACCTCCAGAGGGCCAAGATCTCAGACAGTCTAGGTCTTGCCCTAGTAAGGTATTAGGGTTTATGTCACACTCTCACTTTTACATTGTGCACTCTTCAGATCTGCTTCTTGGTGAGAAAAAGATAACCCTTACAAAGGATATGCTGAAAGTGACATGAATACCATGACATGTAGTCATACCACCTGCAAATAATCCCTTCTTACCAAAACAGATGAGTATTGTAGGTAGCTGTATAACCCCAGGAGCAGGTTCAGCACTTAAATCCATAGCTGGGACCTCTGCACAGATCCTCCAGAAGGGGTATGCACCCTTTTTATATTATTTCTTAATCTGGCCTCTACCAAAATTTGGAATAGGAGATTAGAATGTATTTCTCTAATGTGGGGACAGAATGGAAACACTGCTCAGCAAATCACACCACTTCAAAGAGAAGATGCAGCAGCTGTGCAGTCTAGCACATGGAAAAGAAGAGAAATACCCTAGAGAAGGACATTTGCTATTATCTTCACACTTGGGAAAAGACGTGTTTGTGAGCTCACTCCCCCCTCAATTCAAAAGTAATAACAGTTTCTCTGTAACAGAATCTGTCCATCTATTAGGAAGGACACATCAACTCATCAATCTCTGATTTTGATGTTAGATTCAGGTGGGTAGCCATGTTGGTCTGAAGCGATAGAACAAAGTTTGAGTCCACTAGCACCTTTAAGACCAACAAAGTTTAATTCTGGGTATAAGCTTTCATGTGCATGCACAGCATATACAGATAGCTGTCAAGATCACAGCAAGTCATGTAGACAGGATATTTAGATCAGGACAATCTAGTTTGACAGCTGAGTGATCATGTGACTCTAGATTGCATCATTTCTTTAGGTGTCACTGTGACTCAGCAACTGTACAGGACTGTATTCTGATTGGTCTAAACTTGTATATATTGTAACCAGTTCTTGGTAACTCACTGCCTATATGGTTACTGCTGTTCTGCGTAGCACTTTGATGGTTGGAGTCCTGAATTGCTACAAACTGTATATATTCTCTGTAAATAAATTGTACATACTCTGTAAAGACAACAGAGTGCTCTGCTACTTTTTCGGCTTCAAACACCTTCACTTCTTACACCCAGAATTAAACTTTGTTGGTCTTAAAGATGCCACTGGACTCAAACTTTG